GGGGCGGGGGGGAGGATCATGAAGTGCAGGATGGTGAGAATCCTGCGAAACCCAGTCAGACGACCACAGGTGTGGTCGGAGGGGTGGGCTGTGCGCCTTCACCACACATGCCAGGGACAGGACATGCTTGCCATGAGAGTAGTCCCTGCTTCTCCCTGGAAACAAGTTCCATCCCAAGAAGGAACCCAGTACTTCACAGAGCAACCCACGTACTTGACGACGGCAATGTTCTCCAGCACGGCCTCGAAGATACCTACGTCCTCCTCGCTGGCAGATGCCAGCAGGGTGAGGGAGTAGAATATCCCCGCCTCCGAGGTGCTGAACACCCAGGTGTACTCCCCCGCCTTCAGGGCCTTGCTGGAGGGCTTTACCTCCCATGACACCTTTCCCACCGCAAGCTGGATGCAGCTGGCGGGTGGCCCCTGCTCGGCGGCATCTCCTGTGCCAGGACTGGAGCTAATTACCAGCTCGCCCTCGCTCTGGAGGATGGGAGCCTCACTGCCCCTCACAATGTACAGCTCGGCATAAGGGAAACTGATGAGAACTTCCGACATGTCGACGGCCGGGCGCCCCTGGTAAACAACAAGGATCCAGGAGCCTCACACAAACAGAACGGTGCAGTTAATTCCGAGAATTCCTGGTCAATGAGCCTGTGGACTTGGTCAATGCCTCGCGCAGCCTGTTGAGGGACACTCTGCTTCCCGAGCACCTGGCATGCACCTCGCCGTACCGATTCGTGGGGACGAAGCGGGGGATGCACCTTCCAACCAGCTTCAGGCAGAGCAAGCAACCACGCTCCATGCAACCCCGAGCCCCGTGGTGGTGTTTCGACATTATTTTCGATTGTAAACGCGTCTGTGCAATATATCGGTGCACCAGAACTGCTAGGTATGCCGTCGTCCAAGCATGTCGAGGGCTCCAGCGACTCGCTGGGCCCTGGAGAGAAGAAGCATAGGAGCGGAGTGAAGAAACTGATGAGTAAGCTGGGCCTCAGCAAGTCCAAGGGCGGTTCGCGCAGCAGCACCCCCACCCCAGGGAGTCCAGCCTCCTCCAGCCCTCGGGTTGGCCAGGATCACTCCCGTGATAACGCCAGGCCGGTGAGTCGCAGGTTCTCGCCCACCCCACCCATTAGAAATCGATGACGGGGGCGTCGAGCATTAGCCCGCTTGTTCACCCTCGATTCATTGTATATCAAACATGTGGGTTCTGAGGCCACAACTGTGGACCACTCATACCGATCTGTGGTCCTAAATATCTCCATTCGATATTCAGGGGGATGCCACCCTGACCGAGGCCGCTCTGAGGGAGCACGAGGCCAGCCTGGCCGCATCCCCCCACCTGGGACCAGGTACTGCCGGTCAGTGTCGGCAGCGTGCTGGAATGGGGCCTTGTTACGACGGGAGGAGGGCGCTGGGATTGGGGGGTGCTGGGAAGGTAGGGTGTGGGAGGCCAGCTCCTGCATGGACCAGATGACATCTACCTTTTCTGTTGTCGATCCTGTGCGATGCTCCGACATTGCTGGCTGCCATGCTTGCCTTGCTCGGTTGGGTGCCGATGGGCGATTGGAATGAAATGAGGTCGATCTCCCACCCCCTCCATAACCCATATTCCATCTCCCCCTACGTCCCTCGCACCGCAGTCACGCCCTCTGCCAGCGAGGAGGTGTTTGCCAAGGAGGCCAGCCACCCCACCACCGACAGCCAGGCGTTCTCCCACGGCGCCACCACCTCCGACATCAAAACCATCCTCACAAGCAGCGCCGAGTCCGGGTCCGCCGGCCACCCACCCTCGGACCCCGCGCCCATGTCGTCGCCGCAGGGCCCCTTCCCCGCGCCGTCCCCCCGCGCCGTCCCCGCCGTCCACCGCCTAGCGGTGACCGGCCTGGAGAGCGAGGGGCCGCCGGCCCCACTCATGGGCCCTCGCCCACCGTCCCCAGACCCGGACTACGTGCGCCAGGTGCGGGAGGCCGTGGGTGCGCCGCGCGCTGCCGCGGAGCTGACCCCGGCCGAGCTGGAGGAAGGCATCGCCCGCCTGCCCGCCGGCCCCTTTGCCACGCAGCAGGAGGCCAGCGTGCGGCAGCCGGGCGAGGCGCAGGCGTACCGCCTGTCCCGCGACGCGCCGGAGCTGGCGGCGGGCCCCTTTGCCGCGCAGCAGGACCTGAGCCTCTTCTCCGCCGTGGACGGCGACCATGCGGTCGGCGAGGGGGCCGAGGGTGGGCTGGAGGCGGATGTCGCGCACGCACCCCGGCACTGCATCTCCCTGGACCGACGCACCGAGAGCCAGGCGGTGATAGTGGAGGAGCTGCAGGCGGGCAAGGTGCAGGAGGCGCAGCCCCGGCGGCGCCGCGGCAGCCGCTCGGCGCGCCCCGTTGCGGGCGCGCTCGACGCGGTGCGCCTCAGCGCCGGCTCTGGCAGCTTGAGCTCGGTGAGCGAGGACCCCGCCGCCGTGCGCAGCCTGGACGGGCCCGGCGCCGCCAGCGGCGGCAGTGGGACCTACACCGCAGAGACCAGCCTGGGGTCCCATGCCACTGCGCCCAGCCTGGCCTCCACGGACGCCTCTGGCGCCACCAGCGCCACGCCCGCCGCTGCGATCGGTGCGCCCGCCGCCGCCACAACCGGCGCCGTCGCTGGCGCCGCGATGGCCTCGTCCCTGAAGCCCAAGGATGATGTGTCCGCGGGCACACACATGTACTCCCAGCTGCCCCAGGAGGAGGGGGGGTCCACCGCGCCGGCGCCGGAGACTCTGCTGGCTGGCGGGCGCGCCGCCAGCGACACCTTCTACACCTCTGGCGTCCAGGAGCTCGCGCCTGCAGGAGGGGCAAGCGGTGCTGACGCAGGAGGCGCTGGCGGTGCCGGCGTCGGGGAGCTGAAGCCTGTCGAGGGCTCGGGTGCTGCTTGCATCGTGGGCGCTGCCGGCGCTGTCGCCTTGCCAGCGCAGGAGATCCCCCGCCCGCGCTTGCGCGAGGAGGAGATCGCCGGCCCCACGCAGTACACCCAGGTGGTTATGCCTCCGGCGGGCAGCCCCCCACTGCGGGAGGAAAGCGCGGTCACGGAGCCGCTGCTGGCCGACAACACCCCCCCGGGCGCAGCGGCGGTGCTGCCCTGCAGCGGGCCCCCTCCCCCGGGCGAGGACACGATTCGTGGCGACCCCGGCCCCGCCGGCGAGGGCCTGGCCGCTCTGGAGGTCGGGGCCGCCGCCGCAAGCGTGGAGGGGCCGGCCGCCGTGGCCGCCTTCCTGGCCGCCTCCCCACGTGTAGCGGAGGAAGGGCAGGATGGCTTTGGACCAGCCACTGTGATCCATCCCGACGAGCAGCGCCAGGGCGCCATGCCGGAGGCTTGGGATAATGATGACATCTCTGCCTTTGTGAGTGGTGGAAGGGACCGGAGGGTGGGGTGGGGTGGGGTGGGGTGAGGGTGTTCTGGACGAGTGCTTGTTTCAGTGGTGCGAGCAGGGAAGGCATCCTTGCGAGAGTCATGAGGGGCCAGGTGTCCTCCTCTGAGCTCCGCCTGCTGTGCCCTGCGTGGAGCAGCAACCATGCACTTCGGAACATTTCCACCAAAATTCCTCATTCCTCCCTCTGTGCCATTCTCCATCCCACAGGCGGGCAGTGAGCAAGGGACCCAGTCCTCCACCGGCATCATGTCCACCGGCAAGGACACCGCGAGCCCACCGGCCCCCTTGACGCTGCCCACGCTTCCCACGGGTGCGGGATCCCTGGGTAATGACGGTTCGCTGACGGGGCAACAGGCCGGCGGCGTGCCATGGGACGTGCAGGCGCGTGACTTCTTTGATGGTGGCGTGCATTGGGCCAGGGGCCACCCCTACCATGCCGGCGCCGGGCTGCTCCTCCTCTACCCTGCCTGGCTCATTGCGGCGGCCTCGCTCAGGACGGTGCTCACCGAGTTCACGCCCGTGCTGGTCATGAGCGCGCTGGTGGCCCTGGCCGCCACCGCGCTGAGCTGGTTTGTGCTGGCAGGTGAGCGTGATTTGAGGAAGCTGGGTGGAACCCTGGTTGAACCCGGCAAGAACCTGGTGCACAGACATCTGTGTGCTTTAGCCAGTGCTGACCCTTCCCTGCACCACTTGTCTCTTCCCATAACATTCTTTCGACGGTCATCGGAAAGATCAACACTACTTGCCACGTTCTGGTCCCCCCACTCAGCATTCCATCTTCTTGTGCTCCCCAGGCGAGCTGCCCCCTCTGTCGGCCTTCATCCCCAGCGGACCCGCCCCTCCAAAGGAATCCAACGACAGCATGATTGATAAAAATGACGGGCCCCTCACTCCAAACTCGTCCCAAGCCCAGCCCAGCCTCGTGGAAAGTGCATTGGGCGAGGCAGGCCCCGGCAAGGAGCAGGCGGGGAACGTCATCGTGGAGACCGATGAAGGCGGGGAGGTCGAGATCAAGGGCCCCTCCACCCTGGAGCGTGCCAAGGACGTGGCCTCCAACCTTGCCAGCTCAGCAGCAGCCGCCGTCACGCAGGCGGGCCAGTCTGCCATGGCAGCGGTGCAGAACCTCACCGACTCCAGCCCTGCAGATGCAGCGTCGGAGCCTACCCAGGTGCGAGAGTTTTGGCGATGAGGTGGCGGCGCGTGCATGAGTGTGTGTGCATGACCTGCCTTGGAAGTTGCAAGCGACTGGGATGCTGGGCTACTGCAATGTGCAGGAGGCCTGCTACTATCCGCCTGCAGTCGGCTGGAAAGATCCTGCATCAAGCAAAGCGTCCGTGTCTCACCTCCAGGCCCCTCTCAACCGCCTGCCCCTCTCCTCCTCCTCCAGGGCGGGACCTCAGTGGTGGACGCCATCACCAATGCGCGTGACCAGGCGGTGATCAACCTCAAGCAGAATGCCCAGGCGACGGCGCGGGGCGAGGAAGAGGGCTCCGGCTATGCCCCCGACTCCGACGGGCCTGGGCCCGTCATCGAGGGCGTGCATCACGTGCAGTAGACCAGCAGCTGAACGACTCCATCTATTTCATTTGATCAGGCCCGCCTGGGAACTGTCAGTCTCACGGCGTCCCAGTGGGCCCCTGTGCATGCATGCGGGTTGCCATGCAAATGCGATTTGCTCTGGAACAAGGTTGCAGTGGAAGCAAAGGCTCGAAGGGGATGAGTAATTCTTCTGAGGAATGGGCTGGGATCCCTGAGGGTGGGTCAAAGCACTGGCACAGGGGATGGCATCATGCATTGGGGACAGGAGAGGCACGAGGCTCGCGAGGGGTTGGCTCCAAATTCCAGGCAAAAATGTCCCTGTGCATTGCCCAGCATGTTGCAGCTCGGCCACTGCATTCCCTCCCCACCCAGCTGGTGTGTGGCCTCATTCGTTATGGCTGCCCACCATGGTCAGCCATGCACCCCTCCCGCATCATCACCTCTCAGCGCCGGAACACCAGGGTGTTCTTGCCCTCGAAGGGCAGCGTGGCGGTGCCGATGGAGGGGTGCTTGGAGCACAGGTACTCCACAAAGTCCTCGTGGGAGGTGACACGCCGCCCGTCCGGCAGCCGGCGGTGCGGGAAGTCCGACGCGTACACGCAGCACGGCACCACCGCCATGGGCACGTCCAGCGCCAGTGCGAGGTCCACAGCAAACTCGGTGGCCTGGTCGGGGTGCATGGCCACGACGGCAGACGCGCCGCGCAGGGCGCGCCACGCCACAGCGGCGCCCAGCGGGCCTGGTTGCTGGGAATCTCGATGGCCTGCCAGACTGGTGGCACAGCAAAGGGAGTCTGGGCTAGGCGTGGCGCTGCTCGGCGCCTCGCAACTCACCATTGAGGCCACCGGACGTCCATCCGCCTCCCCATCGTCTGCCACTGTTGGTGTCTGAAAGCTCTCCTCCACCTCAATCGAGGATGCGGTGCCCTGCGTTTCAACCGCAGGCTCCCCATCCCCCGCCTCGTGGGCCGCCGCAGCGCTCTCGTGGTCTGATCGTAGTCCTCTGTGCGTCCAGCGCAGGTCTTCTGCTGCCTCGCACGCCATGGCATAAGCGCGCTCCCAGCCGGCAGGCGGCTCCTCCAGGCATGGGAGCCGCGGGGTCGTCTGCTCCGCGGTCTCCTGGGCCTGCGCCCCGCCGCCCTCGCTGCGCTGCGCCTCCCTCGAGACGGCGTCGGGCCCGCCGGGCCACGCGATGCCGAGGCAGGCGGCCACGGCGGGCGTGGCCACCATCCTCAGGTGCGCCGGCATGTCGCAGGGCTGCTCTCGCGCGACGCGACCCTGGGCCCCTTCGGCGGTCGCGCTGTTGTACGGCGCAAACACTGCATTCCAGTTGTAGTACCCCCGCTGTGGCGTGGGACCGGGGGTTGAAGATGGTCATCGCCGCGGTGGACAGGGCTGTGCACGGCACGGCGTGACCCAGGCTGCCCCAGGCCGCACCGCTGCCGCGCCCCACATGCAGTGCGCACCGTCCAGTCGACCAGCCCCGCACCTGCAGCCACTTGACATGGCGCTCGAGCTGCAGGGGACGGGGCTCCAGCGCCGTGCTGGGGATGCCGTTGAGGTTGAGGAACTCGAACGCGAGCTCACCCTTCCCGGCGGCGACGTCGAGGATGCCGGAGCCGCGTCGCAGGCGGTCCTCCCCCACGGCGTCCAGCAGCCACCTGAGAGACGGGCAGGGGGGGATGTGGAGATGCACGTTTGATGAAGTGGCACCGAAGAGGCGCATGCAAGCCTGCACGGCAGGATAGGGCAGAGAAGGCGCAACCACTCCCCGAGCAGCTCCATACTCGACCTGGAGAGATCTCTCTCCACCGCCACCATCCCCTACCTGCGTAGGGTGCCAGCCCGGAACCGGTTGCGCACACGGTTGCGCTTGCCGGGCCCGCGGTTCTCCTTGCACCGGATGTCATTGGTGGTGCGGCGAGCGGCCTTGAAGGCGGCCCTGCGCTTGGAGAGAATGGGGATAGGGTGAGGCCAGGCAGGCAGTTGATCACGTGATGCAGCTGCAGAGCACTGTAAGGCGGGGGGGGTCTTTGGGAATTCACGCCCATGCATGAGCCTTCCCAAGGCTAGCCCTGCCACAAGGCACATGAGCACTATTAAATCAGGCATGGGTTGTATACCCGAGCTTACTGTCGGGCGGCCACTCGCTGCAACTCCTCCAGTCTCTCGGCGGGGTGCCTGAAGACACACCTGTCCTTGTAGAAGCAGACGCCCATGCGCTCCCAGTGTTTACAAACCTGGTCAAGGAGGTGCATGCGTCATGTGTATGGATGCATTAGGGAGATTCATCATACCGTTGAGCGCAGATACAGCACGTGAGGTTGCTCGACGACCAAAGTGCCCCATCCATGCATACCGGAGCGCTGGCCAGCAATGCCTCCATGGATCCAGTTCCTCGCAATGCACAATCCAAGTGATGGTATCTGGAGTCTCCATGCACGCTGTCGCTGGCCGGAAACATGGACTCGCCCTGGAGGATGGGCGCGTTGCAGGTCGCACATGGCGTCTCGAACTTGGCCACCAGGTGCTTGTGTGCCACGGCCAACGCCATTATGATTTCATTCCGAGCTTGATGTTTTGTACGACATTGCCAGTGGTACGTACATCCGAGTGCCACTCGGCTGGGCCATGCAATTTGACGGAGCGTCCCCGTGCTCTCCGTTTTCAGGGCGCGAGGTCTGGGCCTGCAGCGGCCACTCGGCACCGCCAGAGTGACCCTCACCACTCTCACCAGCGACATGCTGTTGTGAGGAGCGCAGACGTTGCATGGATTTCGTACTGCCCACCTGGCATGTAAGTTCTGATTACAAAACAGCTCAACAGGATGAAAACTTTCGTGGCCTCGGGCAGGGCGCTCATGCTCAGGTTTGTCTGAAAGCCAGAATCCCTGGGAGCAGCGCCAGGCCCCCCCGGGCCAGCCGCCCCCTGTGCCTCACAGGCCCTGCTCCTTGTAGTGGCGCTCGATGTCGTCCACATCCTCGCAGCTGCCCAGGTACACGGGCGCGCGGTCGTGGATGTCCTCCGGCTCTCGCAGCAGAAGGCGCTCGCAGCGCTCGTCGATGGCGCGCCCCCCCGCCTGCTCGATGAGGTAGGCCATGGGGTAGCCCTCGTACAGCAGCCTCAGCTTGCCCTGTGAGAGCGTGGGTGGAGGCGGAGGGGGGGCGTGTGAGCATGCGACAGTGGGTAGGGATGGGGGTCGCCCCCGCCGCTCCTCCAGGGCAGTTTCGCCGCCCATGACACGGCTCAGCCGTCCCTGGCGCAGCCGTCCTAGGGGTGAACAGGCCCTGCATGGGCAGCTTCCACACAACTACATGGTACACGCTCCTCCCTTCCAAACACCAGCAAGGCACGCCCCACCACCCCACATACTTTGGTGTTCTTGGCGTCGGCGGGGTACAGGAAGACGCCGCCGTAGAGGAGGGTGCGGTGCACGTCGGCGACCATGGAGCCGACGTAGCGCAGGGAGTAGGGCTTCCCCCCCCCCGGCGGCCGCTTCTTCTCCGCCACGTAGGCGCTGGTGGCGGCGTCCCACATCGCCGCGTTCCCCTCGTTGATGGAGTAGATGGAGCCGCGCGGGGGCATGACCAGGTCGCGGTGTGTGGCTACGAACTCGCCCAGGGAGGGGTCCAGGGTGAAACCCGACACGCCCCGCCCCGTGCTGAGCATGAGGTAGGTCATGGAGCCGTACATGCAGTACCCCGCGGCCACCATGTCGCGCCCCGGGCGCAGCACGTCCGCCAGGCTGCCCTCGCTCCCGGGTGCGACCTTGTAGATGCCGAAGATGGTGCCGATGGAGACGCCGCAGTCGATGTTGGAGGAGCCGTCCAGCGGGTCGAACACCACGCAGTACTCGCCGCGCTGCTCGGGCCGGATGAAGATGGGCTCCTCCTCCTCCTCCGTCACCAGCACCGCGCACTGACCCGTGCGCGCCAGCACGTTTTTGAACACCTCGTTGGCCACCAGGTCCAGCTTCTTCTGGTCCTCGCCCTGCACATTGCTGGACCCGGCCATGCCCAGCACGTCGTTCCCTGCCAGGCCAGCCTGCGGATTGTATTCAAGAGGGGGGCTTACTGATGAAGGGGGCTCGTGGGACCGGGGAGCGCTGGCCACCAGTGCCCCCATCTGCCCAGCACTGCTGGGGGAGTGCCCCGAGCCAGGCCCCGTCAAACCCCACCGCCCACCTTGCGCACGGCCGAGGCGACAAACTTGCACCCCACGGTGATGGCGTTGAGGAGGACAGTGAGCCGGCCCTTGGCATTGGGGGCGGTCAGGTGCTGCTGGCTCAGCACCCAGGCCGATAGGGTGAAGGGGTCCGTCTGCGGGGTGCGGTTTGGAGGGATGGTCATCATGCAGGCCCGGTACGGCGACGGGCATGCATCCTTGATCGCCAAACGCCCAGATCGCCAGCGCCCGGGTCTCTCACATGACTCTGGGCATCCTGCGTATCGCCCATCGCGACAGGCGGGTGAACCGGGGGGAGCGGGGGCAGGCGGGGCCACGTCGAGACGATCACACGAAATCTGCACTTCAATGTCTGGGATTCCGGTCTAGACGCAACGGTTTCGTGGCCACCATGCCCCACCGTGTGATGGATGTCCTCGTCACGGAGTAGATGACTCAGCACCCCTCACGGCATGTCGGCAACGCTTGGACACTGGCCCCCGTGAGAGCTCTGCATGCCCTGCTGAGGATATGCTATACGCACTGAAACCTTTCAACGTATCCTGGGCGAAACAACCAGGCATGGGTCAGGGTGTCTCCTCGCATGCACGAGGGTGCTGCCAGGGTTTGAATCACAACCAGGGGCCGCAGGGAGGGATCAGGCGTGGGCGGGGGGGCGCGCCGTCCCCAACGCCTTAGCCCCATTCTCCCTCGCCTTGACCTCGGGCGCCACGACGGCCAGCTGCGCGGCCATCATCCCCCTCAGCGCACCCCGCACCGCCTCCGAGCGGGAGCGCAGCAGCGTGCATAGCGCGGGCCAGGCCCGGGTGTGCTCGGCGCCCCAGGCGGGCTCGCCCAGCCGCAGCCAGGTGCTCAGCGCCTCCAGCGTCAGCGCCTCCCTGGGAAGTTGCAGGGTGTGGGGCACGTGACACGACGACCAGCTTTGGCTCACGGTTTGTAGGGGCACGAGCCCAGGGTCGTCAAACCCTGCAACGGCCGGAGCGTGAGCTACATTTGCCCTTGGAACTCCACCCTTGCACGGACCCCCCCCACCCTCACATAAACTAAGAAATCTCGCACGTGTAAGTATCGGGCCAGGCGACGGTGCCGGCCGCCCCGCCGTCCCGCGCCTCTGCCTTCTCCACCCCTGCCGCGGCGTCCTCCAGGATCCAGAGGCACGCCTCGGCGGCCATGACCCGGCAGGTGGCCGCCAGGCCGTCCAGCGCCGCGGCGCCGCCGCGGCCCAAGCCCGGCGCTTTGGTCATCACCCTGCCCAGGCACTGGAGCAGGAGCGCGCCGCCCTCCACCAGCTGCCGCGCGGGCTGCATGCTGACGTTCGACGTGGTGCCGCTGCTTTCGATGTCACCGACCCCAGCGCCGTCGCCACCGATGCCGTCGCCGACTCCAGCGCTGTAGCCGACCCTGTCGCCGTCGCCGCCCTCCCCGTCACCTTCCGCCCGACGGCGCGCGGCGCGGACGGAGGCGGCCAGCGCAGAGAGCAGGCGCAGCGCGACCGCCGGCGGCGGCCCCGCGCGCTCCAGCACCTCGCTCGCCGCGGCCTGCGCCGCCAGCGCGGCGGGGGCGGCCGCCGGCCGCGCCAGCGCGCCTTCGAAAAGCCCCGCCACCGCGTCCCAGTCGGGGCCCGCCATCCGGGCCTGGCAGGCGCGCGCCAGCGCGGCGGCGCGGCGCAGCGCGGCCTCGGCCAGCGCCGGCACGGCCGCGTGCGCCGCCGTCTGAGCGACGACCGGCCCGAACAGGTGGCAGGCGCCCAGGGCCCAGGCCTCCGGCAGCAGCGCGGCCAGCCCCGCCGCGGCCACCCCCGCCCGCGTCGCCAGGCGCGCCAGCAGCTCGGCGTCCTCGCCGCCGACGCCGGGGGAGGGCACGCGCAGCGCCGGCGCCAGCGCGGCCTCCCATGCCGCGCCCCAGGCCTCCGGTCCGGGGCCCAGCTCCCGCGCGTGGCTGCGGAGGAGGTCCAGTGCCAGGCCCAGCGCGGCGACCGGCACGCGCCCTCCCGCCGAGTCGGAGGCCAGGACGCCCAGCGGGCGCAGCGCGGCGCGCCAGGCGTGCGCCTCGTCGCGCGGCCCCGCGCAGGCCAGGCGCCGCGCCAGGGGCTCGGCCAGGTACAGCGCCGCCACCGCGTCGTCCTCGCGCTCGGCGCGCGCTCCGCCCCCGGCCCGCGCGCCGCGCACGGCGGCCAGCACGCACGCCGCGCCGTCCTCCAGCAGCGCGTGCCCGCCCTCGCCCGCCCACAGCGCCTCCAGCGCGGGCTGCA